CGACGGCTCCGCTCGTTTTCCCGGCACCAGCCGTTCCCGGCGCGCGGAGCAGCCGGAAGCTCCCGGCCGCCTTTTTCATTCCGCGGCTCCGGCCGCTCCGCATTCCTGGCCCCCCGGGGGGGTTTTTAGGGAATCTTCCCCCCACCCAGCGCCTTGCTCCGGATTTCGCTTCCCGCTCCCCGTTTTGGCGCCGGATCCGTGCGGATCCGGCGGAGGACAGCGCCCGGTTTCCCCCTTTCAGAAATTCCTGGCTTGTGGGGAGCGTAGAAAGCCGCTCGCTTCCTGGCTCCGACGCCTCGGGAACACCGTGCATCCCGTTAATTAGAGGAGCGGTGCTTAATTGGGCTGGAATTTGATTGGATCCCGCAAGGCCCTGCGCTTCCGCAGCCGCTTTCCCGTGCYGAGGTGAGGGAATTCCGCCCGGAAAACCGCCCTCGGAAGGGCCGCTTTCCTCCCCGAAACAGCTCGGAGGAGCCGCTTTTCCCGGCCGTTTTCCCATGGAAAACATTCCGGGGTGAGGGAATTTTGGGAAGCGCGTGACGCTGGCCGTGGCCTTTGCCTTGTTTACACCTCGCTGGCCGGGTGACACCGGGTGACGTCAGCCACTCCGGCCCGGATCAAGGTCCCGACTCCAAGCGACGCCGACGGATCCGGCCCTTTCCCGGAAACCTTTTGGGGACCCAGTCGCCCGGATTGCGGCAAAGTCCGTATCCGCTTCCGCACAAAGCGCTTCCTGGCGGACGCGGCGCTCCGCTTCTCCGCTCATCCCACTTCTCCGGTCTTTTCTCTCTTCTCCGTTGCTTCCGTCCCGTTCGGAGAGCCACAATCCCAAGGCAGCGGCGCCTGGAATGCCATAAACGGCTCCGCGCCGGCCTCATCTGAAACCTTTTACCCCAAATCCCGGCTAATTTGTGCCGGTTTTGCTTTTTTTGGTCGTTTCCCTTTTTCCCGAATTCTATGCTTGAATCCAACATTCTCCGGATTCTTTTCAGTGTATTTCCCACTTTGGTGTGTGGGATACCTGGAAGAGCCCAGCAGGGATCTTTAAAGGAATTTTATCCATTGAAAGGCCATGTTTTTGGGATCTAAGTGGGATTTTTGCCTTTAGCTACAGCATCAAATCGGGAAGAGGGAATGGGGTGGGAAAAGGTCATTCCGCTGGAGCTGAGCAGGATGGTGCCRGGCAAATCCAGGTCATTCTCCCAGGATCTGCGTGCGGAAACASTGGAGTGATGGATTTGGGGGCGCCCTGGGTGAGTTTTAGCCGGAGAAATTCCGATAATTTTCCGCAAGGATTTGGGAGCTGCAGCTCCCAGAGAAACCCCAAGGAGCGATGTGCTTTGCCTGGAAAACTTGGCATTTTTCCATGCTGGGAATCAGCTCTGAGGAGAAATCCCGACAAATTCCAAAATTCTCTCGCCCCTGCTCTCTAATGGGAGCTGAATCCGTGTGTGKGGGAGAAGCTGGAGCCATCAGCTTCCCAGTTATCCATCCAGATAGAGCTTTTCCGAGCCCGGAATGATCAACCTGTGTCGGCCTCTGCTGGGATCCGGAACCCTTTACTTGGAGCTGAGATTCCGGGGAAATCTCGAAATGTTTTTCTGCGCCCTCTTGGATCCAGGAAGAGGATCCGCCTGCGGAGGAACCGGAGAGGTGGCACCTGGATGCTCCCGATCCCTCCCCTTTCCCGTGGCTGGAATCCTGGGAAACGCGACTTCGGAAAGCGCGGGATTTTGTGGGGCCAGATCCGCCTGTCGCTGCCTCACTCCAAATATCGGGATCAAGCCCCTTTTCCAGGGGGAAACGGCACCTTTTGGCCCATTTTGGGTCCTGTTTTGGGACATTTTCCCGGCATTTTGGCACAGCGGGATAATTCCAGAAGCGATTCCCGGCTTAAAAAGGGAAATCTCACCCCGGGAGCCGGAGCGAGGCCCATCTGGCACCTCAGCTTAAGCCCTTCCCAGCTCCAGATGGCTCCTGGCTCCCGTCGATCCTTACGGAGTGCCCCATTTTGGAGATTCCCAAGTTTTTTTCCCAGAGGAAAGATTGCAGTTTTATTGCATCTCTTATTAATAAAAGATGTCYCTCTGTTCTGGAGCCGCCCAATGGGATATTCTGGGAATATCCTGATATTTTTCTGGAATGCTCCAGAGCCTAAAAAGATCCCAAGAATTTTTTTTGGAGCAATGCAGGTATTCGGGAGATRGGAAATCTGGGTGAAAACTGTGATCCAGGTGTTACCCGCACGCTCTGGATACAGGGAATGAGCGGGATGCGACCCGAGGTGCCTCCCATGGGACCTTCTGGGAATGTTCTGGGAGTGCTTGGGAGCTGAAGGAGATTCCGGGAATTTTTCCAGAGCGATCCAGACATTTGGGAAGTGGGAAGTAATGGACGAAAAGTGGGATCCAGGCATTGGACATGGGAAGCGAGCGGGATATGACCTCAGATACCCCCCATGGGATATTCAGGGACCATTTGGGGAATACTTGGGAGCAGAAGGAGATTCCGGGAATTTCCCGGGCGTTTTCCAGAGTGATCCAGACATTTGGGAGGTGGGAAATGCGGGAGAAAACTGGGATGTGGGTGTCACCCGTGTGCTCCGAATGGAGGAAGTGAATGGGATGAGCCTTTGGATCCCCCCCATTCCCGAGCTCCCCAAATAGAGGAGGTGAATGGAATGTACCCTCGGACACCCCAATTCCCGAGCTCCCCAAATAGAGCAGGTGAATGGGATGTGCCCTTGGACACCCCAATTCCCGAGCTYCCYRAATAGAGCAGGTGAATGGGATGCCCCTTTGGGAACCCCAATTCCCGARCTCCCCGGATAGARGAGGYGAGCGGGCTGCGCCCTCGATCCCCCCATTCCCAAGCTCCCCAAATAGGGGAGGTGAGCGGGCTGCACCCTCTGGTACCCCAGTTCCCGAGCTCCCCAAATAGAGGAGG